GCAGGGCAGAAAAAGCAAGGACGGACAGCGAGCCCAGAGAGAAAGCGGACGCGAACCCGACGCCCGAAATAGCGAAACTACGACAAGGCGCAGCCAGCCAGGCAGGGCCGCGCGGCCAGCCAGCAGAGCAGAGACAGCAAGAAGTCCACAGGCGGGCATGCGCGGCGCTCCTGCGTACTAACACATTATTCGCCTGCGCCGCACACAGGCCCGCGGTCGTGCGCGCGGGGTTGTGCCGCTCGCTCGCCCGCGTACCTGCCATCGCGCGCGGCGGCGGGGGCGCGCGTCGCTGCGCTCCCCCTGCATGCGCGCCCCGCCTGATCTGCCTGCTCGGTATGCTCGCCCGCGACGCGCGCGCGCGGCGCCCAGCGCTCCGTGGGCGCGCGCCGCGCGCTGAGGCACCTGCGGTATGGATGTGACCATCCACAACTTTTCGCATGTAAATCCACATCTCTTCGAGGCATGTGCCAGCACGGGACGCGATGGCATAAGCATTCGCCAGCAGTGGCGCCGTCGGTGGAGCCAGCAACGAACACGCGAGCTAGTTGCGCCTGAGCCTTAGGAGCCGTAGTGATTTGCGACCCAGACGCGCGTCCATCAAAGCCACAGAGTGGAACTTTGGTAACGCCTTGGCGGCGGCCGGAAGCAACTGCTCATTGAAGTACTGCGTCATCAGGATGGGTGTCGAAGGTTGGCTGTGACATTCCACGTAGTTCCTTAACAAACTTATCTCTGGCCCCGGGGTCGTCATGCCAACTGGGGTCTTGGGCCGCCTTGGGCCACTGCGGGGATGGCTCGTGCTGGGAGGCGCGGGGCACATGCGCGCGCGCACCAGCCGCAATCATGAAATCATCGTCCTGCCTGACAGAGAGAGAGAGAGAGAGAGAGAAATATCCAGCCTTATTCTACCCTTAGTCTTGCTACAAGTCTGAGACACTCCAGCAGAGTAGTGACGTAGTCAATGCGGTGGGTGGTTCCTGGCCGTGCGCGCCAGCGGGCAACCATGTACCAGAGGCGCCTGAGAAAGACTCGGAGAAAGGTAACGGCGCGCAGTCTTGCGAAGACCTTAGGAACTAATGAAACCGCTGTCCTGTCACGTTCACAAAACATGGGCTGCTCCGATGCGACCGAACCGGGAGCTGCTTTTCATCCACAAGGTGATAAAGTGGTGCTGGATGCGATCGCAGCCCGATCAGGTTCTCGATCTTGCACCAATCGTGTATCGCTGTTGTCCATGCAAAGCCCAGGTGCGCAACTGGCAGCGAGAATATGCCGAGATGAAAAGGGCAGCACACGCACGTGTCGTCTAGCCAGTATACACCCTGCACGATACGCAGATTGCGTGTTAGTCCATACATCAACGCCACACAAAAGCTTGCGCACAACAGCCGCCGTTTTCACGACAACATCTCTTGCTGGTGTCCAACCATTCCGTTGTACCCTGGTCTCAAGTGTGCCTAGCATGTGAAAGCCGCGCTGTGCAACGGCGAGCATGTGGCCGGGCAAGTCCAGTCCTGCGGCGTCCTGGTAGCGACGTATTCGAGACCCGTGCCGGTCTGGCTTCATGCGGGGCCGAAAGAGTGAGCGCGTTGGCGACTGCGAGTCGCGCCTGTGCTGCTGAGCTGGACCTTACGGTTCCTCGAGTCGCGCTCGAGCCTTCCGAACCAGGTCCGGCAGCAGGCGGCAAGAAACACACATTTTGGATCGAGCAAGGGAACATTCATTTCTGGCAGCATGTGCGGGGCAACTTTGGTAAGTCCCTTGAACTGTCGTGGCAGTCGGATGACAACCACATCCATGCCAAGCTGGAGGCATCATCTCGTAAAGTGGCCCCAGACTGGAACGTCGGCTTAACCAACGGCGCGATCTCCATACTAGCAAGTCGTGCGATGGTATCTGCTAGCTCGTTCAGCGGGTCTGCACTGTGACCATGCACATGTTTCCAAGACAAATGTAATTTGGTGCGTCGTAGTTTCAAGGTACCACCTAGCAGCTCCAGGCAATCCCCAAATGACGGAAAACGTAATCTCCCATCTGACGCGCGCACGACGAGCAAACTGTCTGTGTGTGCTGTGTTGGGCAGAGACATGCAGAAAGGCGGTGCTTGCAAGCACAAGCCAGAGCGCTGCTTGAAACTCGGAGGCATTTGACGCGCTCGTGACCTGGTCGACGAGACCCTCGTCAACGCCAGTAAGATACCCATCTCTCCGATACTGTCCGCTTTCTGCAACAGCATATAGTACCAAAGCCTCAGACGGTGGTCCCCCTAGCTGTTGGTGTTCTGTGTCCCAGACCCGTCCGTGTAGATTTCAAGGCGTACAAAGTCTGTGTCGGTGTGTGTCTGTTGGGGATGGGGGGAAGTATTTGGGAGGGGGATGAGGAGTCTTCAGGGGAGGGAGACGGGGCTCCAGAAGAGGGGGGGGGAAGAGGCGGGGGATGAGGAGGAGGAGGGTGAGGAGGATGACCGGGTGACGAGCAAGATTAAGGAACCCGCCATTGCCATTCCCGGGGGGTACTCGACCGTCTCGCTAAGTTTACCTTCCCCGACGCCACCACGATCAAGCCATGCATTCGTGCTAAATGTGTCGCCCTGGAGCTCGCAGGTGTGGGGACAAGGGGTAATTCCAGACAGCCTATTTGCATGACGCACTACCCGAGGTTCCCTAAGCTGCCCCCCCACCTCCCACCCTTCCCATGCCTTATGCGTGTGCGCGTGTGCGCGTGTGCGCGTGTGCGCGTGTGCGCGTGTGCGCGTGTGCGCGTGTGCGCGTGTGCGCGTGCGTGTGTGTGTGTGTGTGTGTGTGTGTGTGTGTGTGTGTGTGTGTGTGTGTGTGGAGGGGGGAAGGTGGTCTGGTGCTCTAAGTTTGGGGCCTTTGGAGGTAGTCGGTCCCAGTATCTTAAGACGCATTAACTCAGAGGCCTGCGCAACACATTGGCGGGCCACAGTCTCTGTCTGCTGAAACCGAGGGTGGGCCCATCCACTCATTGATTTTTGTTTTCAGAGTTGCCCAGTAAGCCAGCTCCTGCCACCCCGATGCCGCAGAGCTCGCCAGGACTTGAAACATATTGTCTTAGGAGTTCTTCTTTTGTGTGAATCTGCATTGCATTATCTTGTGTACAGGTGGTGACATTATCCTGATGCCGAAGGGTGCCGAAGGAGGATGATGAGGAAGGGGAGGAAGAGGATAACGAGTATGAGTATGAGTCTGAGTATGATTCTGAGCGTGAGGAGGAGGAGGAGGAGGGGGAGGAGGAGGAGGAGGAGGAGGAGGAGGAGGAGCGTGAGGAGGAGGAGGAGGAGGAGGAGGATTTGGAGGAGGAGGATTCCGTAGCCATCTTCAATCAGACCGCTGCATCCCAAATTTCTTGGCTCTAGGCGCTTAGCCCATGGAGTCAGCTGCGGGGCGGTCCCCTGAGACGGCGCGGGATGGCGCCCAGAGTGGGCGCGTTTTTGTTTCGTCTGCATCGGATCGCCTTGCACGTCGCCTTCATGCACGACTCTCTGCACACCTCCTCGTGCAGTGACCCGAGACCGAGTGCGCCGCCCTGCCAGCACGCCACACCTCGGTCATGGACTCTCTGAGCGTGGTCCTGGGCGACGTCGAGCTCGTTGACCGCGTGCTGGCTTTGGCACCCGCTCCGTTACCTCTCCTCCAGGGCGCCACGCCCTCACAGGAGGACGTCTTTCGTCGCAGTGTGGCACTCCACTCGGACGCACAGGGATGCCCGCTGGTCGCCGTCTCGGTGCCCGAGCTGATGCGTTTCCAAAAGTCCAGGCGGCTCGAGGCGAGACAGGAGGAAGGGGCCCGCATGGGATGTGGTCTCCACCTCCGATTTCGACGAGCAGGTCGTGGTGCGCTCTGGTGGGCTTCGCGCGGCGCCCCCCCCCCGCAATTGTGCTCGGTGTGGGCGGGCAGCCCCTCGTACACTCGTGCACATGCCACCGAGGAGGCGAACGAGGATGTCTTCATCCTTGGTTCGAGCAGCTGGTGGAGGCGACTTCCACGGGGCCCGCTTAGCTTGTGGGGTTCGGCGCGCTCGACGTGCAGTTAGATGCACTTGCGGTGCCATCGTCTATTCCTCGGCAGCGCCCGTGCAACTGGAGCAAGACTACGCCACGGCCCCCGCCCCGCCCGAGGTGTCAGATCAGGTCGAGGAGCAACGGGAGCTCCAGACGCCATCCGCTATTACTCTGTAGTCTCCCACAAGCGCGTGAAGAGGGTATTGAGGCAGGGGGCCCCCGGAGGCGTGCGGGGTGCCGCTGGCAGACGACAGTGTTGCTGGTGCTGCTCCTGGCGGTCACGTTCAAGAGGTTTATGCCGTGGTTCAACCTGCTTCTGGGGCTACCTGGGTACCGCGAGGGCTGCCGCCAGATCCTGGCGAGGGTCTCCTATTCGCTTGACGTTGTATGTGATTCAAGGATGTATGGTGGTTGTTCAGGTATTTAATGTTCTGTCAACGCTGTTGGCACCCAGGCCGTTTTTGCATTTTTTCAAGAGATGTAGTTTTCCGGTATTTTCTTTGAGAGCCGAATGCTGGCAGCTTTTGTACGTGGCTTCTTTCTTGATCGAGCGCGCCTGGGTTCTGCCAGTATGAATCGGTACATGTTCATCGAGATCCGAGAATGGCTTCCTCTTCTTGCGAGCGGTGCTAGTGCGTGGTGTCTCGCGCGTTCCGGCACTTCGGGGTCGCGGTCGTCTGCGTGGCCTTCTACGTGGACTCCAGTGCTACTCCAGCTGCGTCTCCCGGCTGGTGCCTGCAATTACTGTCAACAGAGGCCGTGCAGTTGCTGCAAAAGAAAAGAGGAGGAGGAAGAGGAGGAGCAGGAGGAGCAGGAGGAGGAGGAGGAGGAGCAGGAGGAGGAGGAGGAGGAGGAGGAGGAGGAGGAGGAGGAGGAGGGAGCGAGGGTCGGCGCGGGGGCCTGGCGACCCCTTGGTGGGTCCGCCGGGGTCTCGCCACGTTGCCGCCCGTGGGCGCCTCGTGGCCGCCCTCGGCCGCAGGCCTCGCTGCGGCTGGACGGGGAGCCGCGGCGGCTGAGGCTGGCAGTGCCGATGCCCGCGTGCGGCGGCGACGCGGGGTGCGCCCCGCGCCCCCGCCCCGCTGGCGCGTGGTTGTCGTCCTGCCCGTCGTCCGTCGTCCGTCGTTCGTCGTCCGCCGTCGTCCGTCGTCCGTCGTCCGTCTTACGTCGTCGTCGTCGTCGTCGTCGTCGTCGTCGTCGTCGTCGGCGTCGGCGTCGGCGTCGGCGTCGCCGTCATTGTCGTCGTCGTCGTCGTCGTCGTCGTCGTCGTCGTCGTCGTCGTCGTTTTTCGTTTTCTTGGAATGTTGCTGGGCGGCCCAGGAGGTTCTCATCTCCACGGCTGGGAGTGGCTCAGGAAATTGGGCGGCATTCACAGTGCATAGGAAAACCCAGAGGGAATCATTTCGCTCCAGATGCGGTCCGTTGAGCGGGCTCGTTCTGTATGCCTTCCTCAGTGCCACCCTTGGCCCTTGTCGGTGCTCGAGAACAGTCGAGCGAGCCTGGCCCAGGCGCGCGGACGTGGGAGGCCATGACTATTGTACTCAATGGCTACGGTGTGCCGGCGCAGCTGCACCATTCAGTCCAGTAATCCCAGTAGGTGTTGATGGCGAGCAGGCTGGACGCTGCCTAGCCGCCCTCGCGCGAAGCGCGACAAAGTAGTCAAAGGTGTGGAAGAATCCGGCCACGCGAAGCCTAGCCAGAGTCAGAAAACAAAGCCAGGCAGGGCGACCAGCAGCCGAGGAGGAGACTACTGGCCGCTACACTGGTCCTGGCCCCCGTCTGTGTGCCAGAGGGAAGAAAGTCCCGTCCCGAGTCGAAGGCGGCGGCCACGTCGCCAACCGCAGGGATATCAGTTGTCACACTGAAAAGTCATGTAAGTGACACGCTTCGGTGCCAGCGGGAATTCAGCTATACAAGCCAGTTTTGGGCGAGCCCCCCGAAGACCCGAAGACGACGACGACGAACCGAATCCCCCGCAACACGGGACACCCGCGCGCGCTTTACCCCCCCCCCCCCAGAAGGGGAGCCAGCAACCGGGCGTCGGCAGATCGCAGCACAACCAGTGTAGATTCTGGACGCCCGAAATGGGCACGGAAAGAATGGGTATAATGCCTAACAGCAGTTCTTGTTCATTCTGAACAGGACTCGCTGTCCGCGCCGCCGCGGCCTGTGTCCATTTGAGACAGGAGGCCGCCCGCCCAACAGCGGCCGCTGTTGGTTTGGGACAGCATTTGTTATTGGGCATTGTACCCATTCTTTCCGTGCCCATTTCGGGCGTCCAAATGGATTGGGGCGCACGGAGGAAGGCACGAAGCGTCAAGTAGCCCCGCGCGTAAAGGAGCCTGGCGCGTCGCGCGGCCCCTTCCCCAGCGGGCCCGGGAGCCCAAACCCAGAGTCTCAGCGGCAGGCCCTCCTCTGGCCGCCAGCGACAGGGCAAAGCCCCCGTCCGTGCACGCCCCTGCCCCGCAGTGGAGGCAGGGGCCGTCTCCGGATGCCACTGAGCGACTCTGTATACGCCGCGCAGCGCACGGCCCCGGCCCTCAGGATGGGCGTAGGGGGATGTGGCGCTGGCGTGCCTGCCCGCGGCCGCTCGGCTTGCGCCGTACAGCCGCGCGTCCCAGCTGCCCAGGGCCTCCCCGGTCTTTCGTTGTGGTGAATGGCGACAGGCTGCCTAAAGGCCTCGACGCCCTCGGCCGAAGGCCGAGAAAAGTAGTATGGGGTCAAGGAGAAACCGCCCCAGAGCAGCCTCGTGGCCTCCCCGGTCTTGTTGTTGTAGATGATGGCGACGCCCTGTTCGATGTGTTGACGCCCTCGGCCGAAGGCCGAGAAAGTATTCAAAGGTGTAGATGAACCCGGCCACGCCTCACCTTCGGGGAAGCCTGGCCGGAGTCAAGAACTAAACCAAGGGATGCCCCAGAATCAAATAACAAGTCAAACCAACTCAGTCTAGCCAGCTCGATTCCGAGTCGGGCGAGGAGAGCGAGGGGCAGAGGTAGGGCGAGGCCGTTGCTGGGGCCTCTCCGGCAGGGATTCTACCCTCCGCCGCGAGCGGCGGCCCGGCGACGGGGGCGCGGGACACAATTCCCGCGTGCGTCTTTGGAGCGCGCAGGGCGCGCCGACCACCGCCACGGCACCCACCGGGGGAGGGGGCGAGGGAGGGTCGTCGACGGCGTCGTCGTCGGAAGAGTGGCAGTCCATGCCGTCGGCCTCATGCTCCGCGCCCGCCTGAGCTGGGGGGAGGAGGGGGGCTGGGGGGAGGAGGCGCGGGCCGCCGCTTCGAGGGTGGAGTGCCTTCCGAGCCGGCCTCGGCGGGCCGCCGAGCCGCAGGCCCTCTGCGGGCCGGAGCCGGGACGGCGTTCCGGGGCAGGGCTTCCACAGGATGCGGATCCCGAGTTTGCGCGACAGAGCCTGCAGCCGTGACTGGTCCTCAGTGGTGGGGCCGGCGCCGAAGGTGATCCAGCCAGTCTTGGCTGTCACTCTGGGCTGGCCAGCCCACCAGGCCTCAGCGACGCCATGCCCCCACCCGAGGGCGGCGCGGCCAGGTGCGAAGCGGGGGCACTCTGCCTTACAGTGCCGGGCCGAGGCAGCGACGTGCCCGCAGAAGGGGCAGGGGGCCTGACCGTTGGCAAGTTGTGTAGGGGTGCGGGCTGCCCCACCACGCCAGACGTGCAGGAGACTAAGCTCGTCCTTGGTAAGGCTCTCGCGCCACGAGCTCCACGGGAGCTTCGAGGCCTCGATGTCGACGTCCCCCATCCCTTGCTCGTCGTGTCGCGGCGCCTGGGGCCGCACCTGGAGCAGCCGGGCGCGCGCGCAGCCCCAAGAGAGGACGTGCTGCCCCCGGGGGGAGGGGGCGTCGACGTTAGGGGGGGGGGGGCGGATGAGGCCACGATCTCGGCCACGGCGGCCGCGGCCCGCGGGTCGAGGGCGGGCCCGGCACGAACTCAGACTGGCAGCAGCCCGGGCGACTCCGGGTGGGAGACAAGCCCGAACGAGTCCGCGTTGTGAGCCACGCACGAACGCCAGAGGGGCGAACGGGGAAAGCGAGCGGCCAGGCGGAGGGCCTGGAGAGAGGTGCCGAAAATGGGGTGGAGCTCAAGGCGCTCGGCCCACCGTCGTCGTTGATCCCGCCAAGATCAATGGGTGCGAGCGACGCACCAGAAAGTGAGCTTGACCAGGGGGGGGGGACACTCCACAAAGTGGGCGGCCCACCTGTACTTCGAAGCCACGGACATGACAGCCGTCAGGGAACGTCTGCCAGAGCTGCCGGGGATGAGCAGCAGCTTGCGCGTAGCATCCTCGATGATCCCCCAACCGTCGCGAGGTCCCAGGACCGGGGGGGCGCCAGGTGGCTTCCGGGGCAGATGCCCGGGTGTTCTGCGTCATCGTCGTCTTCCCAGAGATGCCACATGCCGGCGTGTTCCTGGAACCCGAGGCGGCCGTCGAGTGTGGCCGTCGCCCGGGAGCGGGCCTCCACGTCAGAACTCTTCAGGCTCTGGTCGTCGACGTAGGACCAGGACCGGACCTCAGCAAGCGAGCGCATGGCGTTATGCCAGGGAAGCAGGACGAACCCCATGACCCTTCCTAAGCAGGGGCGCCCGGCGGGGATGCCGGCCGTGGGGTGGATGGCCAGAGCCGTGGCCCTGGTGACGCCGCATGCGCGAGGGGCAGCCCACGTGTGCCTAATTAGGTGGAGCAAGGCCTCAACCGCCACCGAGTGCGAGATCGAATCGTAAGCCTTAGTGAGATCGACCTCGGCCCCAGCCCGGCCTGGGGCGGCAGCCCAGTCCGCCGCGGACGCGACGGCGCCCCGCTCGCCGGATGCCTTGAGGGGGGGTGGAGGGGGGTCCGGGAGGACGTCTAAGTGCCAGGCCCGTAGCCAGACCGGCGCCACGGCCGCCTGCCGCGAGTCGTCGGAGCCGCGCTTCGGGATGCTGGCCACCTTAGCCGAGGCGAAGGCAGCCAGGCGCTCCTCGGGCCAGTCCTGGTCGTCCAGGTTGACCTCGGTGAGGATGCCGTGCAGCTCGGAGATCAGCCAGTGCACGTGGGCGACCATGCCCTTGAGCTCCGTGCCCTCCCAGCCGTCCCAGTTGGGGCCACCTTCAGAGGCGCCGAGGGAGTCGCAGCAAAACGCCTCCAGGGAGGGGGGGGCCCAATGGCGGGGAGGGGGGACCGCGGGGCCCCCCAAGTCCGAGGCGGCGCCCGTCCAGTCAGGGGCAGCCACCGTGTCGGCCTCCTCGGTGTTTTGTTGTGGTTGCGGTTGATGGCGACAGGCTGCCGCCTAGACGCCCTCGGCCGAAGGCCGAGAAAAGTAGTACGTATGGGGTTAGGGAGAAACCGCCCTAGAGCAACCTCGTGGCCACCCCGGGGCGGAATCATGTGTGAAAAGGCCCCGCAGGGCAGCAGTTCGCAGCCGAGGAGGAGACTGCGGCCACCGCACTTCCGGGCCCCCGTCAGTGCGCAAGGAGGAAGACCCCAACAAGTCAGGGATATCAGCGTCGCGCTGATGACACATGGAAAGGGGCACGCTTCGGCGATGCCAGCGGCCTCCCTGGTCTTGTTGTAGTTGAAGGTGACAGGTTGCCACTGGCCTGGACACCCTCGGCCGAAGGCCGAGAAACGTAGTGGAAGGTGAGGAAGACACCGGCCAAGAATCGCCTACGGCCATTCCTGGCCAGAGTGGGGCGACCCCTAAAGGCCGCCCAGGTTTCATTGCTGATGCTCAGGTGCTAGATCGCTGAGGTGTAGGAACTTGGGGCCCGCATCGTGCACGCCGCGGAGAGGGGGGGAGGAGAGCACCCCGCCCCACAGCGCGCTCTTGGCCTCCCGTGCGTACCGAACCCCACCCCCCAAGAGCCAATCCATCCCCGCCGCCCTGCGAAGGACAGCCCCATTCCTGCCTCGTCCTCGCTGTCTCGCCCCCCCCCATGCTCACCGGAAAGCCCCAGCGGTGGCTCCTGGCTAACAGGTAGGCCCCACGGCCTTTTCGAACTGGAAGGGGCCGGGCCCAGCACCGACCCAGCCCTCCCCCCGGCAGCGGGGCCCCTGGGATGCGAGGGCGTGCGGCCACCGGCTGGTGCGACGCTGCCTGCGCGGGCGTGACCCGCCCGCCCTTCGGCGGCCAGGGCTGTGCACCCGCCCTGCCCCTCCCCTTCGGCGGCGAGGGCTGTGCGTTGGGGCGTTCCTCCTGGGCATCCCAGATGGGGTCCGAGTTGACGTGGTCGGATGGTCGCACGGCATCGCCGACGCATCGCCGACGCTTCGCCGATCACGATCTTCCGCTCCCATCTCGTCAGATCCCGTCCAGGAGGCTTCTGGTTCCAGGAGGGGCCTCACCTTCCAAGGGAGCCCAGGGCCTTCCTCCAAGGGCCTCGCCCCAGGGACGCTGAGCGATGTCCTCCCTGCCCGCCAATCCTCTCGTGCATGCGTGTTTGTGTTGCCGCAGTGCCACACGCCCTCCGTCCCCGCTTGCGGAGCGAGGAGCCAAGTCAAGCCTCTCGGCCAGACTCGACTTGACTTGCACTTCCAGGGATCGAAGGGTTCCTCTCTCTTCCTGGGCGGAAGGCGGCGGAGGGCCCGCGGAGGCCATCGGAAGGAAAACAGGGGCGGGTTCGCCAGTGGACGCAGGTGGAAGGTCGGCGGAAGTGAGCGAGAAGGAAGGATCACCCCAGGAGATGTCATTTGTTTTGGCTCCAGGGTTTCCAGAGTGGGCCATAGATACGCCGACACTTGTCAGGCCCATCCTGGGCGCAGGATCGGTGTATGTACCGCCCTGGCCAAGCGGAAGGGCATATGCACCGATCCTGGGCCGAGACTGGGCCTGGCCAGAGTGGGTGTATGTGTACAGCTGGCGTCCGCCCACTCAAACCTTCTGGAGCCTCTGTGACACCTTCTTGCGCGTGGGACCGCTGCCCCTCCTAGCCGCGGGGCCGGCTGCCTGGCCACCCTGGCCTCAGAGTGCAAGAGACCCCTCAGGGGGGAGGGGTGGGGGTGGCGTTGGATGGGAGGATCGGATAGGGGAAAAGGCAAGCTAATCAGGGGCGCTCGCGCGATGTCTTGCAGTCTTCTCCTCCCGCTGATCCCTTCCCATTGTCCTATGTTGTTTCTATCAGCGGACGCGTGTCATAGCGGACCTGGAGCTCCGAAAGAGGCCCCACCGTGCTTTGCGCAATTGGAAAGGGGGAGCTGAGCAGGAGGAAAAGGATGATGAGGAAAGGGTAGGAGGACGGGGACGAACAGCAGCAGCGGGGATTGGAGTGGAAGGAGCAGGAGGAGCAGGCGGACCAGGGGAAGGCGGAGGAGGGGAAAGGAAGGGGCGACAACGATGAGGAAGGATTCGGATTCCGAAGTGTGGCCCGCGCTGGCTGGGGCGAGATCGCAAGTCTGAACGACGGGAGCACATCGGCGATCTGAAAATGAGGCCCACGCTGCAGCGGGAGCACAGTTTTGAAACATCGGGAACAAGCGGATTATACAACATTCGTAAAACATAAAGCACCTTTGTCCAATAATGTGGGTACATCTCAATGCGCGGGGACGGCGGGACGTCTTGCAGACAGAGTCAGGGGAGAGAGGAGATGAGTATTCATACTGTGCACTGATACAGAAGGAGGAGGAGGAGCAGGAGTAGGAGGAGGAGGCGGAGTAGGAGGAGGAGGAGGAGGAGGACGAAGAGGATAATCGAAGTTTTGGTTGTGTTTGGCTCCTTTTGGGACTGCCGCGGCTTCTGAAGACTGCTGGGAACCTCCAGAGGCCTCCAAGGATTTTCGGTAAAACCAGTAGAGCTGCGGATGCCTCTGGAGGTGAATGGGGGAGGGAGGGGAGGACGGACGGAGGGGGGGGAGACGTGAGGGAGAGAGGGGAGCAGCGAGGGGGGATGGCTGGAGGAGACATCAGGGCGGGAGGGATGGGGGGAGGGGAGGAGAGGTGGGTGGGGGTGCGGGTGGGTGGGTGGGTGGGTGGGGTGGGGGGGGGGGGGGGGGGGAAGGAGGGGGGGGGGGAGGTGTGAGGAGGTGAGGAGGTGAGGAGGGGGGCAGGAAGGAGGGGGGGAGGAAGGGATGAGGCAAGTATTGCCAGGATGGGAGCAGATGGGGCATGAGGAGGGATGTATACGGGGAGGGAGGGAAGAGGCGGAGCGGGGGGGGGGTGCAGGGGGAGCACCGATGGTAAGACGAGGGAGGGAAGGCGCAAGGGATTCGGGTGGACGGAGGAGGGATGAGGAATGTGGGACGAAGGAAAGGGACTAGGAGCCAGTGAAGAAATGGATGATCATGGGGGAGGCGGTAGGGATGGACAAGAGCAACGCGTGAAGCAGGGAGGAGGAGGAGGAACAGGAGGAGGAGGAGGAGGAGGAGGAGGAGGAGGTGGAGGAATTAATGAGAGTAAGGCCTAGAAATTCAGCCTACCTTGCTGTGCTCTCTCTTGATTCCAGGCCTTGTTCCTGTATCTGCCCCCTCCCTCTCTCTGACCCCCTCACCTCCCCCTCTCTCTTCCTTCTCTTTCCTTCCATTCCCCAATGTACTCGTCTTTTCCCTCTCCCTTTTCCCCTCTCTCCTTTCCTTTACATTGCCCTTTCTTCCTATTTCTTATCTCCCGCTGTCTCTCTCCCTCGTCATGGTCACTCTCCCTCTCTCCTCCCTCGTGTCTCTCTCTGTCTGTCTGCCTGCCTGCCTGCCTGCCTGCCTGCCTGTCTGTCTGTCTGTCTGTGTGTCTGTCTGCGTGTCTGCCCGTGTGTCTGCGCGTCTGTTTGCCTGTCTGTCCGACAGTCGGTCGGTCGGTCTGTCTGCCTGTCTGCCTGTCTGCCTGTCTGTCTGTCTGCCTGTCTGTCTGTCTGTCTGTCTGTCTGTCTGTCTGCCGCTGTCTCTGCCTCTGGCTTCTCTCTGCCTCTGCCGCCGCCTTTGCCTCTGCCTCTATTGGTGTGACTCTCCGAGTGCCCAGTGCCGAGTGTCCCCGTGGACATGGGTCGCCCTCGACAGGCCGCGCATCGCAGAGTGGGCAGCCAATTGAGCCGGTGAGCCTCGTGCGCCCGCGGCGTCCCTTTGGATCCTGCTCCTCTCTCTCTCTCTCTCACGCACACATTCCTCCATCCTTCTTTTTTTGTTCTCCTTTCTCTCTATACATCTGTCTTTCTCTCTCTATTCCTTCCCCCTCGTTCTGCCTCTCGTTCTCTCCCTCCCTCTCTCCGCTCCCCCTGCCCTGTGTCTCTTCAGGTCACCCCACATCCTGTTCCCCCCTCCTCCCTCCACGTCGCCATCTGCGTGGTTCCCCTTTTTTTGTTGCGCCAGGGTTAACTCGCCGCCCCCTCGCCAGGTTTGCCGATGTGCTGAGCGCCTGGACCAGCGCGGCGATGAGGCCTTCGCTTCGGTAGCTGACAGTCCACAGCGGGATCATCATCGCTGGCGGCTGTGCTGATCTCTAGCTGCCACCACCGTTGCCCTTGCCATTCCAGTCGCGCTCAGCATGCTGCCGCTGCTTCTCCTCCACCGCCGACGCGGCTGGCTTCGCCCATGGTGCACGCGGAGCGGGCGATCGGCCAAAATCTGGGGCGCATCCCTCGAGGACCCCGACGGTGCCCTGCTGGGCGCGCGGACGTGCCCTGTTTTATTCCGCGAACAAGGAGGAGGCGGAAGGGAAAAGGGGGGAGGGAGGAAGGTAGGCAAGGTGAGTGCAGGGATGGAGAAGGGGAGGCGCCTCATCGCGCCAGCCTCCCCGCGTGTCGATCGCCGCCTAGAGCTGCGGCATCAGCTCTGCGGCGTCTGCCGCGGACTGAGCCGAGGCCAGCGCGATTCCGTGCCGAGCCGTGACCACGCCTCAGCCGCCGCGGCGAGTGACGATGACGATGGTGGTGGTGATGGTGACGACGGCTACGACGACGAGGAGGAGGAGGAGGAGGAGGAGGAGGAGGAGGAAGAGGAGGAGGAGGACGGGGAATAAAAAACGAGGAGCGGAAGCAGCAGCAATTGCAGCGTCAGCTGCTGAAGGAGCATCGAGGTCGCCAGAGGTGATGCTGGTCCAGAGTACCCCCAGCTTTCCGCTCCACTCTGGACCCCCTGGGACCTTCTGGGCCTCGTGCCGGCGGGCATTCTGGAGTCCGTCAGGAGAAGCTGGGGCCACCTTGGGCCACGATCGCATCTCCAGGCAACCGGCGTCGTATTTTTTAAGTACTTAGGGACCCGCGGAGGTCTCGAGCCATTCCCTGGGGATGTTTTCTCATCAGGATTCGCTTTTGACGGCCGCAGGCCGAACATCGCGAAATTTCAGTCGTGATTTTTCGCGACCTGAGGGGGTCACCCAGCAGCCCCCGAGAGGGAGGGGGGCGCAGCCAGGGGTCCACCCGCGACCGAGGTCCCTGGCGGGTGCCGCCGCCGACGGACCCTCGCTGTCCGCGCTCGTCCCGCTGGTGCGCCTGGGACCCTGGGGGTCTGCAGGAAGTTAACGACAGGAGGGAGTAAGAGGAGGAGAAGGAGGAGGCGGAGGAGGAGTCGGAGAGGAGGATGGGGAGGAATATACATAACTATCAACAACGCGGGCAGCCGGGCCGAGGTGAACACACACATACACACAACACGCAACACGCAACACGCAACACGCAACACACAACACGCAACACGCAACACGCAACACGCAAAACGCAACACAGAATACAAGACACACAACACATGGCACACCGTACACACCACACAACGCACAACACACATAACACACAACCCAGAACCCACAACCCACAACACACAACACACAATACGCAACACACAACACACAACACGCAACACGCAACAGACAACACGCAACACACAGCACACAGCACACAGCACACAGCACACAACACACAACACACAACCCATAACCCACAACCCACAACACGCACGACACAACACACAACACACACCACACACCACACAACACGCAACACATAACATGCAACACACAGCACACAGCACACAGCACACAGCACACAGCACATAACACATAATACACAACCCACAACACACAACACGCACCACACAACACACAACCCACACCCACAACACACAGCACACACCACACACCACGCAGCACACAGCACACAGCACACAGCAAAGCATTCAACACATAACACACAACCCACAACCCACAACCCACACCACACACCACACAACACACAACACACACCACGCAACACAAAACACGCAACACACAGCACGCAACACACAGCACACAGCACACAGCACACAGCACACAGCACACAACACACAGCCCACAACCCACAACACACACACCACACAGCACACACCATACAACACACAACACACAACACACAACACGCACGCACGCACGCACGCACGCGCGCGCACGCACGCACGCACGCACGCTCGCACGCGCGCACGCACGCACGCAACCACACAAGCAGACACAACAAACAGGCACACACAGACACACACACAGACACCCACACACCCACACACACACACGCACAAGCACGCCCGCCCGCACGCACGCACGCACACGCACGCACGCGCACGCACACGCACACACGCACGCACGCACGCACACGCACGCACACGCACACAACACACAACACATAACACACGCGATCACGCGCGCGCACAGGTGCAGACGCGCGCGCACACGCGCGCACACGCACACGCGCACGCACACGCACATGAACACGCACACGCACACGCATTCGCACGCGCACACGCACACGCACACTCACGAGCACGCACGCGCGAGCACGCGCGCGCGCGCACGCACGCACGCACGCACGCGCGCACGCACGCACGCAAGCACGCGCGCAGGCACGGACGCACGCATGCACGCGCGCACGCACGCGCGCGCGCACACGCGCGCGCGCGCCGCAGCCTGCCGCCCGCCCGCCCGCCCGCCCGCTCGCCCCCGCGCGGGCGCGCGCGCGCGCGCGCCCGCGCGCCCGCATGCTCGCGCGCCCGCGCGCCCGACCGCCCGCGCCCCCCGTGCGGCCCGCCCGCCCGCCCGCCCGCGCCGCGCGCACGCGCGCCCGCGCGCGGACGCCCGCGCGCGCGCACACACCCGCACACACACACGCACACGCACACACTCACGCACACACGCGCACGCGCACGCGCACGCGCACACGCACACGCACGCGCGCACGCGCACGCACACGCACACGCACACACTGACACACACGCACATGCACACTCACGCGCACACGCACACGCACACTCACACGCACACGCACACGCGCACGCGCGCGCGCACGCGCAATCGCACACGCCCGCGCACGCGCACACGCACACGCGCGCACGCGCACACGCGCGCGCGGACACGCACGCACGCACACGCACGCGCGCACGCGCACGCGCACGCGCGCGCACACGCACGCACACGCGCACGCACGCGCACACGCACGCGCACGCGCACGCGCACGCGCACGCGCGCCGCACATGCCCGCACGCGCGCACGCGCGTTCACGCGCACGCACGCACGCGCGCACGCGCGCGCGCGCGCATGCGCGCGCACGCGCGCGCGCACGCGCGCGCAGGCGCGCAGACGCGCAGGCGCGCACACGAGCACACGCGCACACGGGCACACGCGTACACGCGCAAGCGCGCGCACTCATACACGCTCACGCGCACGCACGCACACGCGCACGCGCGCACACACGCGCACGCGCACGCACGCACACACGCACGCGCGCACGCGCACACGCGCACGCACGCACACACGCACACACGCACACACGCACACACGCACACATGCACACATGCACACCTGCGCGCACGCACGCATGCACACGGGCACGCGCGCACGCGCTCACGCGCGCACGCACGCGCGAACGCGCGCGCGCACGCGCACGCGCGCGCGCACGCATGCGCGCGCACGCACGCACGCACGCACGCGTGCGCTCACGCACGTGCGCGCGCACGCGCGCGCGCACGCACGCACGCGCGCAGGCGCGCGCGCGCGCCCGCGTAGACACGCACGCGCGCACACGCGCACGCGCGCGCATTTACGCACGCGCGCACACGCGCACACACGCGCGCATGCACGCGCGCAGACACGCACGCGCGCGCACGCGCGCGCACATTTACACGCGCGCGCACTCGCACACATATGCACGCACTTACCCGCACTTACACCCGCACCTACACACGCGCACACACACGCGCACCAGCGTACACGCGCGCGCGCCCACTTGCACACGCGCGCGCACGCACGCACGCGCTCGCACGCGCGCGCACGCACGCATCACACACACACACACACCGCTCACCAGGTCACCACGCACACCGCGCACACGACGCACAACACACAACACACAACACATCCACACGCCCCACACATACACACAGCACACACAACACACTACGCACAGCACACGCACACCACGCACCGCACGCACCACGCACAGACAACGCACAACGCACAACACAACACGCAACGCAAAACAGACAACACACAACGCACAACACACCAGCCAACACAACGCACAACACACAACGCACAGCACACAGCACACAACACAAAACGCACAGCACACATCGCACAACGCAGCGCACAACACACACAACACAAAACATCACTACAGACAGCACACACCACACAACACGCAACAAACAACACACGCGACACAACGAACAACACACAACACACAACACACAACACAGCACACAACGCACACCACTCACCACAGCACGGAACACATAAAACAGAACGCACACACACCACACAACACAACACACAACGCGCAACTCACAACCCACAACCCACACCACACACAAAACACAAGCCACATCACACAACACACAAAACACATGACACAACACTCAACACACAACGCACAGCACACAACACACAACACAACACACACCACAACACACAACACACAACACACAACACACAACGCACAACGCACAACGCACAACACACAACACACAGCACACCCCACACAACACACAACACACAACGCACGCCACACAACACACATTACACAGCACACCACACACAACACACAACACACAACACACAGCACACAACGCACAACGCACAGCACACAACACACAACACATTGCACACAACACACAACGCACAACGCACAAGACACAACACACAACTCACAACGCACAAGGCACAACACACAACACCAAACACCCGACACCCAGCACACAACACACACCACAGAGTACATAGGACATAACACACAGCACACAGCACACAACACACACACACGCACACCACAAGACACAACAGACAAGCACATACCACACATCACATCACACACAACCCACAGCACACAACGCACAACCCACAACCCACAACACACAACACACAGCACACAACGCAGCACACACCACACAGCACACAACACACAACACGCACACCACACAACACACAACACATAGCACACAACACACGACACACAGTTCACACACCTATTTTTCCGTCAAGCGAAGGAAGAAGGGACAGGCTTTCCCACACCGAATTGTCCAAACTTGGCGAGATGATACCCTCCCCTTTTTTCGGCTCCCTCCTGGGAACCCTGGCCCTCTTGTGCTCGGCGCGTGCAAGCTACATTTATCATTTGCCAGAGTACCCTGCCGGTTTACACCCCCCTCCTGGTAACCCATTTTTCCCCGGGCGTTGTGGGGCTCTTGTGAGACCCATGTTTCCCCAAACGTCCGTGTGCTGTTTTGAGAGTCCGAGGGTTTGGGCAGTTCCCTTTCGGGAGCCTCCTGTGCTTCCCCTGGCCCCCCTGGCCGCCCAAAACATTTTCAGGGGCGCACGGACAAGCGACGAGAGCGGCGCAATGGGGCCGAAGACGCCCCGATATGGTCTCCAGGCGGCTTAACAGGCTCCAAAAGACCGTAAGAAGGGTGCAAGATGCTCTTCAAAAGTGTCCTCTTGTGATTAGCAAATGGCCAGACCCCCCCGGGGGCTGATGAATAGACCCCGCGGGGCGCGATTCTTTTTTCTTGTTTTGTTTATCATTGCGCCAGGGGGGAAGAGGAGAGAGGGGGGAGGGAAGAGGAGGAAATGGAGGAGGAGGAGGAGGAGGAGGACGAGGAAGAGGAGGAGGACAGGGAGGAGGAGGAGGAGGAGGAGGAGGAGGAGGAGGAGGAGGAATAATAGCAAGAAAGATTAATTAAGAAGAATACGCATACGAATAATAATAATAATAAGACTACGAATACTAAAAACAATAATCATAATAATCATAATAATAATACGAATAATAACAAACATAACATTATTAATAATAATAATAAGAGTACTAGTAATACGACTAATAATAACAATAATAATAATAATCGGCATAATAAGAATGCTACGAATAAGACAAATAATACTAATAATAATAAGAATACTAATAATAATGATAATACTACTAATAATAATAAGGATAACAACAATACGAAGAAGAAGACGATTAATATTACG